TGGCATCCAACGGTGTTAATGTCTAATAGCTTTATAATAATAGCTTTATTTATTATTTTGAAGGTTCTAAAGTGAAATCTCAGCGACATCTGTGTATTATGGCAATAAATTTCTGTTTAAGATGGATTGTAACGGCAATTTTCTAAAAATTAAATAAATTTTTTTGAATTCTGGAGCAAAATTCGACTTACACCTTCTTCGTGATCCCTTCAGTATCTTATGACTTGACTTACGAATCATTATGAACAACCGATAGAGATCAGTTTAATCCGCTACTTTATTGTAATACTGGATTACAAATGTTATCACTTGCACTGAATACACGAGTACATATATGCCTATATGTATAGATTGGGATAAATAGGTTGATTTGATCTGTGCTTTTTGGGTGCGGGTGTAGTGCATACCCGCTAAATAACCTTATAGGACGTCATCTATCCTTATATGCATGCTATGGGATATATTGGTCTTGAACTTATGTATTTGTGGAGTGTATATAATGTGTGTTTAACAAATCAAAAATGCTGAGTTAGTTATAACAACAACATTTATGTTTAAATGTAGGTTATAGAGTGTATGAGTCCCAGACGTATGCACTACTCATGTTTATGTATTGTATAGTTACTAAAAAGAGTTATGTCCATTCTACCCGATCAGTCATGCCTAATCTATGTACTGCATCCCTGAAGTTAATTGATTCTTCACTGAAAACATATATCCTATCTTGAGTATTTGTGCCTCAAGAGTAGATAAACATCATTCCGAATAGTCTGTTGGTTTCTGCAGAACGGTTCACCATGCTTTATAGCTGGAACAGGGAAACGAGGAATGAGGCTTTTTCAATAGGTACTGTCATGATTCCTGCAAGTTTACTATCAGTTCAGATATTGCAACCAGTTTTTCCATTCATCAGATATCGAATTTATGAAATCCGATATTTTCGCCTCCTGTCTTTTCTTTTTGAAAGGATAAAGAAGAAGGAGAATATCCCAGAAAGTGTAACTTTCCGGTTCCATTTTCCTAGTATTGAACATAGTGATATGTCGTAAACGTTTCATAATACTGTGTTGAATATATACATTTAAGAGTTATTGTTATTGAGTTCAGACAAATGTAAAACACGTAGGGTAACCTTAATACTTATAAAACTGGAGATTCGGCAGCGTAAACGTTTGAGAAAGAGGCTACAAATGTTTTAACGGATGACTTAAAATATTACTTATAGGAAGTTTTTTTATATTTATGCATAATATTTAAAATTAATTTTACAAAAATCGATTCCATTTAGCACAATATCAAGTGGGAACAGAAAGACTGTAAAACTTACAAAGATAATAAAATTTTCAGTATGAGGTTGTGGAGATTGTTGGATTTCATTAAAAGCATGAACTGATTTACGTTAAACCACCATTGAAAGCCTGGAAGCATTAGAAGACTGTTTGGTCCTGGTGTAGGACTCCTCAGTACAGTGCATTTGTGATCATGCACTCGAGACTCAAATACAAGACCTTCGGTCTCTCGAGAAAACACGCAACATCGAGACCTCCAAACCATTGTTGATAAAGTTCATGATGTTATCTCAAGACTGTTGATTTCAACAATTTTATGTATTCAATATATCATTTACCTTATTTGTAGGTATTTTGTCTTAGAAAACACATAACAATTGAATTTTAACTCATATTCATGCAGTGTACAATGGACAGCATTTTAACGTGTGGCGTACAAATTCCAACACTTGTTTATTAGATAATTAGACATTTGGATTATCATCAAAATAGATAGACTAATAAAGATTAATTTCAAAAATTGTTTATGAAGAATTATGAACAGTTGGATAGAAATCAAACCAATATGAAGAAGCTTTTTCAAGGAATTCCTTGAAAAAGCTTGGATCAGATTGCCAGGTGAAACGTTGGATTTAATTCGAATTCATTCCCTGAGATTTTACAAATATATTATTCCTATTTAATGTCTTACATCAACTCGGTGCACAAATACTGTGAAACTATTAGCTCTAATTTAGACGAAAGTTCTTATACAATATAAAGAGGATTGATGAAAAATCTGTTTATTTATATTTTTAGTTTCCAAGTAGGTTTATTTCGAAAAACTATGAAAAGATAGTTCCTTTGTAAATGTTAACAAAAAAATAGGAAAGCAGAGATGGATAGTGGATAGCAGTGGAATGCAGGACATTTGTTTCGACGTATTTGGGACTAGTCAGTTGGATGTAGCTGCATCTCGGAATTGATGTTCACTGTGGGACTGCAACCCAGTACCGTTCGCTTCAAACGCCATCACGTTATCCACTCGACCAATGAGTCCTGATAGGAAGATTCAAACAAACAATACTAAATGAGTTTTAAAAAAAATAGGGAATTTACCGAATCAACACAATTTTGATTTTAAAAAATAACTTCAATTATCGAAATCATTTTGTAATACAAAAAAAGTACACATCAGTAACTAACTGTATTGTGTTTTATATAATGGAAATTGTACATGTAATACATAAAATAAAAGTAATTAATGTCGTTTATCACCTTGTTTAATGTGATCCCATCTGTATCCCTTTTTTCTCTTGTCCTTATTTATGTCATGTCTTTTAAAAAATTGTGTTTAAAAATAACTTTCCTAACTTAAAACCTCTTGTTCTATATTTGTATCATAAATGATCTCCAATGCAGTTAATTGTAAAATAGAAGAAATCGACGAATTGATTTGTACACTTACGATTCTAATTGATAGTTAGCAAGTCTTATCTGTATTCTTTAAGACGATTTGATACTTTTCTCAGGACTATTATTACACTTCACACACTTTATTCAAGAGTGTTGTGAAAATTTTTGGTAGGTTTTTTTCTTTCTAATCTACTTTAAAGCGTGAAATACGTGTTTGTGTATGGTACACCATACTACCGTGTTATTAATCTTCTTGATATTATTATCAGTTGTATTATCTACATCATAGTTAACAGTTTCCTGCTATAGTTCACACATAAATACATTGATGATTACCATGAATATTTTAATAACAATCTTGAATAATACGGAGAAATAATCTATATATGTAAACTAATTCATTACTTGAATCCATGGAGAGAAATACTAAGAATTGTACATTACTAAAACAATGTATACGTGTAACTCAGACAAAAAAACGATGTATACGCATGATCATGTATGAAAGAAATTGATAGACGACATATTAGTGGAAAACTTTTTTTTTACATAATAAACAAATCTTGTCAATTTATTTCACTTAGTAGTCGTCGTACGAATGGACTTTTGGAGTGACAACAAGTCACGTGACTCTAATCATTAGAATAGTATTTATATGAAAAGGGAGAAATGGCGACAATTATCTGTGAGAAAATGAAATTTATATGGATCATATTTACACTTAACCAAAAAAACAAGATATTTCATTCATGACTTCACGGTACTCTTTTTACCAGAGTCTGTAAATACGTAATATTTCAATGTATAGAATATGTCTTTTCAATAGAGAGCTAACTGGACACAAGATCTACATATTTATACTTCTGATGGTTATTTTTTTCATAACATAATATGAAATACGACTCATGATAAGACTAAGCTATTTAACTTGGTACATCCCAAAAAGGACCAATGAAATTTACAACAATATGAGATTTATCAATACACAATCCTTTAGTAACATAAGTCATATAACTAGTTCAGTCAAAGGTCAAATAACTAGGTGTTAGCATATATGTAAATGGTCCGGGTTTGAATTACACGTTCAGGTGATCAAATTTATTAATCACCTTTAGTTCATGAGTAGCAAACAGAACGAAATCTAAGCAAAGTACTTATGTCAATCAACGAAATATTTGGCAAATCTTTGATATGGTGGTTAAATTCTATTAACTATTTTAAGCTATCAGACCCTAATTACTTAAATTGTAAGCTTTCTGAAGTCATAATTGAAATGTTTTTCTCAAGGATTCGAACTATCTATTTTATATGACAATCATATGTACATTGTTGTGAAACTCAGAGAAATTCTAACAATTCACAATGTTCTTCTGATACTAATAAATCTGCAGAAATAATAAACAGTTAATTTATAAGTAAAATTCACACCCCCAAGAAAGTGAACTATCAGTAAATAAAAACAAGCATTTTAGAATGTTACAAAAAGAATTCACCGTTATTAATAGACACACGGAAAATGGTAACTAGTTATGTTTTTCAAATGATGGATATAATGTAACAGGGATGTAATGAAAATAATGACTATTTAATAAAAAGTAAAATTTATTAACTCCGACTGTAGATCCTCTAGAGTTACTGCCGGTCCCAAGCTCGGGCATGGGGTTAGCGACCCCGTACTGTAGAAAAATTAACTCGGTAAAGAAACGCTAACAGGTGGGTGGATGGAGAATGCTGGTGGGCGGCCTATGCTCCTCTACGAGGAGTAACAGGCGTAAGTAAGTAAAATTTATTATTTATGATATTTAATGAAATTCATGGTAAGAATATTAAGTTAGATAGCTAGTGAAAAACTTGAAGTAATGGAAATTTTTTCGACTCCTACCATAAGAATCCTCAGCAGTGTGAATCTACAAGCAATCGAACTCAGAACGTTTGGTCTTGTGCTTGAACGCTTAACATCTAGACTACTGAGCCAGAATCAAATCGTCTACATCTCTTATATCAACAGATTCTCAATATTTTGAAATTACTTTCCATTGTTTGAGGTAACTAATTTCCTCGTACCCAACACAATTTTGTAATGAAATGATCCATAGTCTAGGTGAACTAACAGATAACAAAATCTACACCAAATGATAGTCATTTTTGTCTATGAACAGAAAAATCTCTCATTGTTTTTATATTTATCAAACAGAGAGAATGAATTTTTTTTAAAAAGAAAAACTTTTCAGGTAATGAGATTGAATTGTTACTTGGTGTTATAGTTAATGCAGGTAGTAGTTATGGTACGAGTTAGCTCAAGTTTGTTGCACTTACACTAACAACTTTGGTAAAATCAAATAATTGAGATAAGTTGAGTTTTCCAAGAACCATGTTGATAGGAATATTTCAACTGCTTATATTATATATATATCCGATTGGAAATACTATGTGTAATACACTGGAATACTGCAAAATAAACATATGTAATGTTCGTACTAAAGAAAAACTGATAGAATATGATTAACGGTAATGTTAGTAAATTATCTATGTGATTTACAAGAAGATTAAAAACAAATTTTCAATGGTGTTGTATCACAGTCGTTACCTAAATTGAAAACTCGTTTAATGGACAAACGATTTATATTAATAAAGACTCCTAGTTGCTTTTTTATTCGGCTAGGTAGCTAGATACAAACGTTTAAAAGTTGACGATTAAATGAATTAAGCTTATCTCACAACAAACACGTGCTAACTCTTTTGAATAGAAATTGTGAAGAAACCAATTCAAACGTTTCCAACTTATTATACTACAATAAACTATCACGTTTTGGATTTATTTGAACCGAATAGCTATGCATGCAAACTGTATGTAGTGTGAAATGGAGTGTGTTATTATAAAAAAGCAAACGTTTTTCTATGCCAAATACCAGAAAACTCTAATGAAAACAATACAGTGGTTTGTAACTTTTCCTCCTGATATATCCTTTGTAAAAATCAAAGACGAATACATTAGGGTTTATACATCTTCAATATATCTGATTGTTGACTAATATATAGGCGTACATATTGAACTGGTCGAAAAGTTTCATAACTGTAGATCGGTGGCGCATAGCAATTATTGAAATGATCCATGAAAGATGTTTCCGAATCATTACACTTTGAATACATACTAAGTATTTGTTGTAGTGTTAACACAATCAGTGTTGACAATTCGTTAATATAACAAAATTTATGGTACTGAATAAAACCATCATCAGTAATATTATGACTACTGTTATCCTTACAGTTTATCAATAATGAATGAATACTTTAATCCTTAAGCTACAATTTACATTCAACATGAATGTTATTTTAATGAAAATTAATATGTATAATTATTCATTACAATTGTCAATCGGTTAATTCAAACGAACTTTACTCCTATTCATCAGCTAATCGAGTGAGATTAAAATTAAAACAGTCAAATACACTGACATTTATTGTAAGGAATATTTCTTTTAAAAAAAGACTTCAGAGATGATAGAGAGCAATTCATTTCAAAAATTTAGATACTACATCTTTTGAATTTCCTTATGTGCATCAGTTACCTCATGCATACAAACGTACTTACGGATGGTTTACAAATTTGAATGTTTGTGTGTAATAAATAGGAAACCCCAGTTGTTAACCATCACTGAAGAATTGATTGTTTACATGGATTCGCAAAACCCGATCACCTAACATCGCAGTTAAGGAAAGTTTGTATCGCATTTAATTTATTTTAGGATAAAAGTACTAAATAATAACGAAAAAACTCTGGCGCGAGACTGATACGTCCTGGGTTCTAATCTCGCGAGGCGGGATCGTGGATGTGCACTGCTGAGAAGTCCCATAATGGGACGAAACGGCCATCTAGTGCTTCCATGTTTTCCATTGTGGTCTAGCTTCTATTGACTCATGATTTCAACTATGAAGAAAACACCTAACCGTTTAGTAAGTGAATATTTAAACAAAATTCATTAAAACAAGATAAAGAAGTTTGTGTTTACTAAATCATCAAATTTGATTCGAATTTGTGTATTAATTCAATGGGGATTGAAACGTATGAATAGAAAAGGGAATTGATTGTAGTATCATGTCAAGCGAACATGTCGCTAAATATTCAGATATATTGGACACTGACTATTATGAAAATGAAGCCCATTCCATTCCGTACATTATTAAGTTCCAGTAATGACAATGTTTTGTGAAAAAAATGGAATTAAAAAAAAACACAACAATGTTACACAATGAAACATTTTATCTTGATCGAATGAAACAAGATAAAACAAAGGGTTTAAATGAACTCTCAGGTTATAAAGAAACCTATACAGTTTTAATAAAGGACTGTCATTTTACATTGTTGTTGACGCCTACTGAAGCAGTGGTTACTACATCAGTCATTCTAATTACTAAGCGTAAATCATGAGACCTAGAGGCTTTGGGTCTAAGCGCTCATGAGGTCACCGATGTCCACTGCTGATAAATCCTATACTAGGACAAAACAATTGTTCACAGTTCCACAGTTTCCAGTAGCACTTCATCTGAGATAGACCTGTGACGAATACCACCTACAATCTAAACCAGTCTCCAGAAAAATCTTTTCATCTCAACTATTAAATAATTTTTTAGAGAAACAAATATCAACGACAGAGTTATTCGCCTAAACAGTCTGAGTTATTGTAACCCTTATCCTCATCAATCAAATAAAGTATCAGAAATTCAACCTTCTATTTCGTTGGAAAATAAAAATATGTGATTTTTTTAAATTATTAAATTAACTCTATGCATTAATAGCTAAAGATTTTAAGCACTTATTTCAAAGTAGTAATTCTCCTTGTATAACTGTATTCACTTTAAAATAACATAAAGTATGAAATTCAAAGGGATTCAAGCGTATTGTAAACAAACTGTTTTTACATATTTTTTCTCATTAAGTGTCAATCAATTGAACAGGTCAAGTCTTAATCAATTTGTACTGGACAAATCTCAGAGAATCCTGAATACCTTCAGTTCATTTCATGATGAGTTTTTTAGGTGTATATAACCATATAGTTACAAGCAAAGATGGATAGTGGTTAGCAGTGGAATCCAGGACTCGCGTTTCGTCCTATTTGGGACTCGTCAGTTGGATGTACCTGCATCTTAGTGTTGATGTTCACTCTGGGACTCGAACCCTGAAGCATTTAGCTTCAAACACCATCGCGTTATCCATTCAGCTACTGAGTCCTGATAGCCACTTGCTTGTGCAATGAGATGAAGTTATATTCACTTGTTATTGTTTACTTGCATCTTCCCATTGTCATTTTGAACTGCAATTGATCAGTCTCTCGTTGGCATATCTGCATCCACTGCTAGGTACTATCCATATTTGCTTATAAAGATGAATAATGATAGAATGAATGGAGAGAAAACACTATCGATAAGATAATTCAACCTTATAGAAAATATAATGCAATCCTAAGCATCAATGGGAAGATTCAAACAAACGATACTAAGTGAAATCATATAGTCACAAATGAAAACGTAGTCATATTTGTACTATGTTTTGACTTACACTGATGTTATCATCTTTTTAAATGATAACTTAATTATCACAGTGAAGTCTTTCAAACCATTGTGATTTATATTAAAACACGATATTTTATACCAATTACATAGTTAAAACTTCGCAACTCAAAAATTATGAATGATTATAATTTCGTTTTAATTATTCATCGAAGTTCAGATTTTTCTTTATCAATGTCAAATCCCAGATCCATCTGTAGTATACTTAGTTTCAGTAGTCGTACTCAACTACATGAAATTACAAATCAAATTTAAACGACCACGTTGAGTAAGAACTGACTTTCAATCAACAAATTTCTTATATCATTCAAATTGTAGACAAAATGTATACAATATGTTTGCTGGAAAGTCTATGAACAGGCGCAATAATAATGACTAACAATGTTATATATACACAGAAATAAAATGAAATAATATTTATTAAAACAAATGGAAAATCAAAATGTTTTGATTATAATTCATTGACAATTTAAACTAAATGGTTGCCATGGTAAGATAATTTCAAGTGTATAGAATTATATCAGTCAATTTAATTATAAGTGACTAAATAACTAATCGATTGATTGTACATCAACAAATATATATAAGACTGGAGCTGAAGGAACAACGTATACATTATAAATTGAAACAAACCCATATTTTTAGAGAAACGTTGTATAATTCAATTTTCTCAATATTCAACCGACACTCTTAGTAATCTACTGTTTATAAGATGAAGAGCTATGGTTTCTGTCACTAATTTATTTTTTATGTGACACCCAATTTGTATTCAATCAACAGTTTATGCATTTTGTTAGTAAGTTTTATATTAAATACTATTACTGATAGCCATACGATAATTTGTTTGTATAAAATTGAAATTAAGAGAACCATTTATAGATCAGTGATCTAAATATTTGATGTTAATCGGGTAGCTTGAATTCCTTCGGGATGATTTGAATGTGAAATCATGAAAGTCCTGATTGTAGAGGATTTATGAACATATATATATATATATATATATATATATATATATATATATATATATATGCTCCCTGACGGATTTGATCCCATTTCACTCAGCTTGACATTCAGAGACGTTACCACTGAGCTACTAGGGAGCACCTTGCTAACGAGTGCCAAGTAGCACGAAACCCGGGTCCAGGGTTTTCTGTTGACTACCTCCAATCACCATCTTATCTCAACATAGTGCACGCAGTGTTGAGCCACCTAGACTAATGGCCACAATACAACTTGGTCGATAACATTCGATCTGCACTAAGAAGAACTTGACATGCATGACATTGATCACCACCCAGTGATCAATCAATTGTGACTTGGTAATTATATAAATAAATTTCAGGAAATCACTGAACTTGAAAATTATTCAATTTTAATACATATTACATCATTGAATTAATGAATACAAAGAAACCAATATATATATATATATATATATATATACAAAAATAAAGTATAATTAAAACTTGAGTATATTATTTATTATATAAGAAGTGTAATCATTTACTTGAGTATCTTGTTCAATAGTTGTTAATTGACTGAAATTAATATGATCAGTAGAATCGAGGAATTTTTTGCCGTTTTCACTTTTCCTTTCTTTCAACATTTATATACTTTCAGTTTTTTTTGTATGTATGCTAAAATTCGGTGTTTTTTTTTTGAGAGAGAGAGAAAAATGTGCAGATATAGATCAGGTGTACATTTTCAACGGTCATTCAAAGAAGAAAAAAATAGAGAAAAGAATTTATATATTTAATTCTCAACATGACAATTAAAATTGTGATCAGTATTGCCAAATACACCTT